ACCTGGTGGAATCAACTTCCCCCCGAGGTTCGAACTACTCCCACCCTGCCGGCCTTTAAGAAGGCCGTTAAAACCCTCCTGTTCCGGCAGGCCTGGGGCTGATGTCCCCGGGGGGCCGGGATATGATCGGACTCGCGGTATGACTGCTTTATTTTATTGTTTTATCATTGTTTTAACTTTGTACGCCGCCCTGAGTCCTTTGGGACTGGGCGGCATATAAACACTGAAAATAAATAAATAAATAAATAAATAGACCATGGAGACTGTGTTTCCTCCCATCTATGCACAGGAGCTTGGGGCATTTCAGGGCGTGAACGTTGACAAAGGTGGCAAGCATGCACCTTAGCTTCTATGTCTTTGTCTACCCTTGGCCACCACAAGTGGCTGCGTGCAAGAGCCTTCATACGAACAATGCCAGGATGACCCTCGTGGAGGGAATCTAAGACCTAGTCCTCATTGAGGTGGGAATGACAACCCTGCTTCCCCAAAGCAGACAACCGTGAGAGGTGGACAACTCGTTCCTTTTAGACCAGAAGCTCTGAAACTCAGGACTAGGAAAGTGCTCAGGCCATCCAGACAAAACCCAAGAAAGGACACGTGAAAGTGTGTGATCTGTGCCTGATTCAGCGGCTACATCCCTGGCATTCAGGGGGGACTCGGGCAAGGCTTGAATGGAGAGAATATTGATGGCTGGCACGGGGTCAGCCTCTATTACCGGCAGGGGTAATCTACTGAGGCCATCAGCATGGCCCATTTCCTTCCCAGGCTTGTGAAGTAGGGAAAAATCATATGCAGACAAAAAGATAGACCACCTGAGCATCCTGGGAGAGATGATTTGGGGAGTTTGTTTACGTGTGGTAAACAGTCCCAACAAAGGCTTATGGTCAGTGAAGACCGTGAATTGCCTACCATATAAAAAATCATGGAATTTTTTAATTCCAGCAACAACAGCTAAGGCCTCCCTGTCTATTTGAGCATAGTTGCGCTCAGCTGCAGACAATGTCCTGGAGTAATATGCAACAGGAACCTGAGTTCCATCAGCCCTGAGGTGGCTCAGTACAGCACCCACCCCATAAGGGGAAGCATCACAAGCGATGCACACAGGAAGGGACTCATTGAAGTGTGCAAGTACACTGTTAGAAGTGAGTAAGGCCTTGACCTCATTGAAACCAGCCTCATGTGTTTGTGACCACTGCCACACTGCCTGTTTATCTAATAGCCTGTGAAGAGGCTCAGCTACACTAGCCTTATGTGGAAGAAAGGAATTGTAGAAATTCAGAAGGCCCAGAAAAGCCTGCAGTTCAGCCTTAGACTTTGGCCTAGGGGCTTGCATAATAGCTTTTAGTTTGGATTCAGCAGGATGAATCCCAGCAGCATCAATTTTGAACCCCAGAAACTCAGTAGAAGGTACCCCAATTTTACATTTGTCCTTCTTAAGTTTGAGTCCCGTTTTCCTGAACCTTAACAGGACAGCCCTTAGCCTTTCAGCTAGAATGTGTGTGGAGTCTCCTGCAATTAAGATATCATCAAAATAGGGGCAAACCCCTGGTATACCCCGTAGTGTGTTTTCGATTACGCTTTGGAAAATCCCAGGAGCGACATTTACTCCAAATTGAAGTCTCTTTACCTTGAAAGCCCCTCTGTGGGTCACAATAGTCTGAGCTATAGCAGCGTCATCATCAACAGGCAGCTGTTGATATGCTTGAGCTAGGTCAAGCTTTGCAAAAACGCGCCCCCCCTTGAGGAAGGCCAGGATATGACTGACCACAGGAACAGGATAGGCATGTTGCTGCAATGCCTTATTTAGAGTGCATTTGTAATCAGCACAGATGCGAATGTCCCCATTTGCCTTAAGAGGCGTGACAATGGGGGTCTCCCATGGACTGGAGTCAACAGGTTCTAGAATTCCTTGTTGGATCAGTTTGTCCAACTCAGTGTCAATTTTACTCTTTAAAGCAAAAGGGACCCTTCTTGCTTTAATTCTAATGGGAGTGACCGTGGGGTCTAACTTTAATGACACAGGGGGTCCTTTGTATGTGCCCAGCTGGGGGCTGAAAACGTCTGCAAATTCTTTGCAGACTTCCTGTAGGTCGAGTGTTTGTAGGCTGTTGAGCCCTGTGACGTGTATCCCCAAGGCCTCAAACCACTCGAGTCCTATGAGACTCGTTCGTTCACCCTCTACTACTAGTAGGTCTAGTGGACCCTCAAAATCCTTATACTGTACGTTAAGGGTGGCCTCCCCCTTAACACACACTCTGGAGTTTTGAAAATCCGTTAGCACAATGTCAGAAGGCCTCAACTTGGCCTGGGTTCCGCTGCCGGAACAAATCTTCCTAAATGTGTGCATAGAAATGATCGAAAGTGCAGACCCCGTGTCCAGTTCCATAGTTAATGGAACCCCTTGTAGCTTCACCTTAAGTGACAGCTTTTTCTTAATGGGCTTGTGTGTGTCTGTCCTGTAGATGCTTCTTCGCGAAGCACAAAACCCCACCCTATTCTGGCTGGGGACCCTGGTACCTTTCAGGTGCAATTCTTCCTGAGGTTGTACCTTCTGACGGCCCAGGCACACAGCTGCAATGTGTCCTTGTTTTCCGCACGCCCGGCAGATAGCGGAGCGGAACTTGCAGTCGGCTCTCTTGTGGCGACCTCCACAACCGATGCACTTGGGGAGAGCTGAAGAGCTTCCTCTTGGTTTTCCTTCCTTTGTGGGGTGGAGACGGTCCACTTCCTCGTCCGGATCCTCCTCGGAGTTTCTTTGGACTTCTTCCTGGTGCACGGATGCAGCATCTGGACTGTTTCTGATCGGCCGCATGTTCTTGATGGCGCCGCCCGCTGCTTCTTCTGCGGTGACCTCTCTCAAAGCATCTTGGAAGGACAAGTCCTCCTTGGCGAAAAGTCTCTGTTGCAACTCTCGATGCCTTAGCCCGCACACAAATCGGTCCCTCAGTCATTCTTCAAGGTCCTTGAACTCGCAATGTTTGGCGGCTTTCCTCAGTTCGGCGATGTACTCCTTGGCCAATTCTCCGGGTCGTTGATCCCTCTGCTCGAAGGTGTGGCGCCACGCGATGATGGACATCTTAGGTTGGAAGTGCTCCTTTAGTAACTTCTTTAGATCTGCGTAGCTGACAGACTCTAAAGGAACAGGTGCTGCGAGGTTATCAGCGATTTCGAATGCGTCTTGACCGCAAACGCACAGCAGGGTGGCAGCCTTCAAGCTCTCTTCCCTCACCTGGTTCACTTTGAGGTAGTTTTCCACCCTGGCTGCGTAGGACTCCCACCTCTCTGGATGTGAGACGTCGAATTCCAAAAGCCTTCCAATCTTCGCCATTTCGTATCAGGAAGGGTCTATCAGCCAGCCTACCCCCGAATGCACGCTGGATTGGCGGGTAGCTGCCGAGTCAACGCCGTTCCTGCCGCTCCGGACTCACTCGGGTAAGCTTACACCTTCTCTTTTCCGATGTAAGGCATCCCACCTTCGTTGCCAGTGTTGAGTCCGTCGCGAAATGGTAAGACACGAGAAACAGTTGTAGTTCTCAGGAAACCTTTATTCTTCAGTTCAGCTTACATTGGAATATGGCAGCAATTCCCAAAACTCTCGGCCTCCTTTTATAGGCCTTTCCTGGGTCAATCTGCTACTTTTGGCACGCCAGCACCCGCGCATGCGCACACGTACTGGCGACAGCCTGTCTGGTCCTGGGCAGCTTGCACCTGCCCGGAACCGCCTGCAATGCCCCGAGCCTGCTTGCAAGCTTCAGGACATAACAGAAAGTATAAGAAAGGGCAGCCAAAATGATTGGATGTAATCCATAGGGATCTTAGCTAAAAGGGACAACAGAAACATTATAGGGTAAATACAATAGTAAAGGTTATGAAAAATGCAGATCAGGAGATGTTTTTCTTCACCTCATACCATATTAGAACTTGAAATTTCTCACTGAAACTAAATGTAGGGAGATTCAGAAGAAGTAAGATTAATGCAAATGGGTTAAACGACCCATTTAGAGATTGGATGATTACTTTATCAATGCCTATTAGTTTTAATTCCTGTATCTTCTGCATACATCATCTATTGGGGAACAACATGACTTGAATAAATAGAACTACTTCCACTGCTTGTGGTTCCTTGAATGTATTTACTTGCCCAATACTATTCTTATGTTTTTAAGGCTATACACCAAAAGAAAGAGAAGCACTGTTATTTGATTAGCTTTACTTAGAGGCCATCTGCATTTAATTCTCCTAAATGGTTAGCTAGTTAACAGCCATTCTTAGAGCTTTTGATGTTAAGAAAAATAATATAAATAATTGGTGGTGCCTAAGCTTTTGGGATTTTCCCCCTTTCTTTTTCTTCTTTTCAATCCATTATCCTTAGATGCCCTTTGTTTTAGATTAGAAACCTGAGGGCTAAGTCTTTGATCATTTCTTCACCTTGATTTATAGCACCTTCTAATGTCACCCAGCCATTGTTACACTGATACAGTAATAATGAGGTCAGGTTATATATCACTTCAATAGTGGCTGGTTGCTGATAGCAGATGTTGTAGAGCATTGGAGAAGAAATGATCTGTGTTACAACTGACATTTGTAATCCATTTTAGGAATAATTTGCAATAAAGACTTTTCAAAAATATTTAAATAAATGATATGATAAAATTATTACAAACTTACACAACTTAAAAGGGAGTTATTAGATGCATGAAACATAAGCTTTCAGTTGTTTGTAGAAGGAAGGATACTTCTGATATTGGTGAAAATCTACTGGTGATTACCAGTTGCTGAGGGAATGCAACTAAAGGAGTGCTTTTGTTCCCCTTTCCTATATGTCGTTTCCCACTGACAACTGCAAAAACATGATGCTGGACTAAGCTGCTTTTGGTCAATTCAGTATAGCTTTCCTTATGTGTGTTTTGTGTTTTTCCTGCTCTAATCTATTTAAAAAACACCCTCTCTAGATAAACATGTTCACAAACATACACCCCATACAAGCATCCTTTATTTACCTCATAGGCATTCTTGATATTCAAAGGTTGGCCAAAAGCTGCCACGTGGCCTACAATTCCTTTGTTCCATTCCAAACGGATGCAGTTGTTTGAAGCTTCTTCTAAGGTGGAACCTTCTGCAACATCAAAGAGTCGGCTGATAAGGAACTTCTCATTGGAACTGTCTTCACAGACCAGAAATAGGGAATACCGATCGGCAGCTATGAGTTCATTGATGTGCAAGAAAATTTTATGACAAAGGGCTGTGACATCCAGGTGACTAGAAATATCCCTCACCAGTTCTAAGAGTCTTGAGCATTGATCCCCTGCATTGGTTCCAAGTGTCCGAGATTGGAGAGGCATCTGTTCCTTCTTTTCAGTACCTGACAAGAAACTCACTGTTCCAACAGAATCTTTTATAACAATGGGCCTAAGAGGTCTATCAAATTCAGAAGCAGATATCTTCCGAGTCGGTGGTGTGGAATTAGTGCTTTCAGTCCGTGTGGAACAAGCACAAGCTTCACTGTGATGTTTGGTCCCTTCTTTGCACACTGGAATAGTATGAACTCTCTCAGAAAACCATGCATTGACCATCTCTCTGCATAAGAGAAGAATACAATAAATAAGAAGACAAGCTGCAGAAGTAGTGTCAATACTATGAGAAAAGAAGCACATCTGTACAGCCATATCCTCCTTTGCCTCAGGATGTTCTCTATTTAAAACTAATTCAGAGACTGTCTTTAATGCATAACATTAGCTATCTCTGACACTCTCAGTGGTATCTTGCAATGGCCTAGGTAAAAAAAAAAAAACAGTCATCAAAACATTGTAAGATATTAGCATCCCATGAGATGTTGTAGATAACTACTGAAAACTGAAAATCTCAAGGTATTTTACATTTTTAAAATTATTTTAGCTAACAGAGGAACTGGAGGGCACCAATTTATCAACCCAATTTAGAAACTTGTGCTTCATAAACAGGATGCTGTTTTACATCAAATTGAATGATTACGTTTTTCTATTTAATCTCAGATGCTCATATATACATATCCTTCTTATTCCTGATAAATTGAGAAATATAATAGATTTTAGACATAAAATATAAACAACATATAAAAGCAGACCTATCTTTAATTACTCCCCCACTAAATTAAAGATTCAATGCAAAACCTTCCAAATGTTTTTATTTATTTTCATTTTATTTATTTGTATCCTGGCTTTATTATTTTTACAAATAGCTCAAGGTAATGAACATATCCAACACTCCTTTTTTCTCCTATTTTCCCCAAAACAACAACCTTGTGAGGAGGATTGGGCCGAGAGAGAGAGAATGACCAGGCCAAATTCACCCTGCTGGCTTTCATGGTTAAGGAGGGACTACAACTCATGGTCTCCTGCTTTCTAGCCTACATCAAACTATATTAATATAATATATATTATAAACTGGGATGTATTGCCAGAGTCAACTATTCACATTCTAGTTATTTACATACTTATTTATTTAGCATACATCTATTTATTCAAGTTGCATGGAAAAATATTGAGATTCTACTTTCGGAGCTCTGGATTTCAGTATTTGGTACTTCTTTCAGTTAGTCATTGAGCCTATTAAGTTATATTCCTATAGTATTTTCAGTGCCCGTGAAGTAATGCATATATTGTATTGCTCATTGGTTAGATACCTTTTCATTCCAAAATCCTCCAGATTCTAGTCTTGATGTCTCTTTATAGGATAGGGAAATATTTCTTTGGGGAATATTGTCAATCATTGTAGACAATAATAATGTAGATAAGTCCTTTTGTCCTTAGGAAACTGTGATGTTATTGTTTAGTAAGAATATCAACACAAATAAATTAGGATTGAGAAGTGACATAGAATACAAAATGGTATGGCAATATAAAGCTCTGAAGCAGAATGATTATCTTGTTTCATTTCTCATTACTTCATGGTACCTTTAGACTTCTGCTGCAGTGCTCACTAAAGGATCTTCCAGGCTAGGCAAGTCCAGCCCAGGCCATGATAAATCCTCTGCAGATTGTTTGGTTAGAAAAGTCAGTTCCAGTTCTTTTTATGCCTCTGGGTTCCCCCAACCTGCCCTAGTCAATCAGCCACTAGTCCTTCCATGCTGCTGGTTCCCTGGGAAAAGACGTTGAAACCCTCTTCAGGGAAATGATGTAGTAGAAAACTGAAAGATGCCTTCTCCCACAGCACTATCATAAGTATTTTCAGAAAGGGTTGCATTGAAAATGCCCAGTCTCGAACCCTTGGCATAAACTAAGTATGTCCAAGCTAAGCAGCTTCAATGAAAGCTGTGTAATCCCAAAGCAAACCAATCTGAAAGCACTTCAGACAGCATTGGACAAGAAGGCAGAAAACAGCCTTCTCGTGCAGCAAAGAACCACATTTGTTAAGATGAAATGGTAGGTTTTTTACTAGGGCAAAGTGAATCAAATCACCACCATGGCTTGAATCACTTTGTCAAAGTAAACCTTTGTCCTGTTGCACAGGTCTACTAGATTTCACTTGGACAAGAGTGAAAACAAGGAGGAGACGTGAAATGGTGTTGTTATGCTGGACAGAAAGTTTGGCTGGACAGTTTTTCTGTACACACGTCAACATTTTGCTAAAAATCTTTTTATAAAAATGAATTCAAAAGAGTCACAGCACTGAATTATACAAGAAAAAAACCTTAGTGATGGCTTTATGGAAAAGCCTGATAGAGGGTGTGAATGTGAATTCAGAAGGGAAAGATGATAATTTACATACAGATGTATGTCTTTTTGCTTTAATATGTATGCTAAACATACATACTAAAGCTATTTCCGGAATCATATTTTGTCATATTTTCAGAATAAAGTACAACTGATTGCTCTTATGGGATTGAATTTGCTTCTTCTCAAAGTACAGGTCTTGGAATTCAGTAATGTTACAAGGTCTGATTGTACAGAGCTTTATTTTTTTTACAGATGGTTTACCAATGATTGCCAACTTTGCAGATTATAGTTAGACATAAACTTCCATGGAAACTAAAAGATTATGGTTTGTTAGGGGCAGAGAGTAGTACTGATGCCCAAGCTTTCTAGAGCGGAGTTCTAGTTCATTTGTGCCAAATTTTAGGAATGAATGTGGGTAGGAATATGATGCTCATCAGAGATGGTTTTTTTTTCCTTCTTATAAGACAATAAATCATCCTCTGCTTTAATCTTTCTAATATAAAATGCTATAACCAAACATGATCCTTGTCTTTGTAAATATGAAGATACTCAACTGATACAGTATGACTATGCAGAGAGAAAGCTAGAAGAGAATTCTAATATTTGGGAAGGAACCTATATAGGCCAGTAATTATGGTACCAAAAACACTATTCACCTATTATAACAAAAAGAATATGTTGTGTTTATGAATATGTATATGTATTCTCCCTGAAATTAGGAAAATAAAATCAAGTGGGGCTGGAGAGCCCTGTTGTGTTCTCCGTTCGCGGGTGAATGATGAACACTCATGATGACAAACAACAATGCTTTATTCTCCTTCTCCAACTTCAAGCAAAAAGCAAAAGGCATGCAGGCCTTTTATAGGGCTTGAATCCCGGACAGAGTGAACCAATAAGAGTTCTTCTTTCTTCGTGCCTTGCACATGCGCACAAGGCTGGCGCTGCTCTGTCTGGTCCCGGACAGCTTTTAGAATGCCCGGGCCCGTTTGCAACAATTCTGGGCCTGCTGAGTTTCCTCATCAGGCCCAGGACACAACACGCCTCCCCCGTGGATAGAACACACACAATTCCACTTCTTTACAATCATAATAAAATAAATCAAAAGAAAATAATAGTCTGCTCACATGCAGACATGCTTCTTCTACTAACATAGTTAGCCAACAAAACCACTCTCTAATGTGGACTTTGCGTGTCTATCTTTTACCCCACAAAGGTCCCATCTCCACAACCTAGACATGTAAGGTTCTTTGTACTGACAAGAACCTCACATATTCGCCTAGATGCTTAGGAGGGGCCTTAGCCCATTGTGACCTACGCAAGGTTAGGGAGGGTGCCTGGCCTGTCAGCTCACCTGCCCGGCTAGGCAGACCAGGACTTGTTCTTAAGGGCGCCTGGCCTACCAGCCCATCTGTTGGGCTCGCTAGACCAGGACTTTTATGCTCCGTGAGAGAAGCTGAAATTCCCCAACCCTCTGAGTTGGCTGAGGATTCCCCAACTATTCTGTATGGCTCCAGGGAACTTAGTCCAGTCCCCAGTGGCCGAGGTGCCAGCATCAGAAGTCGCCTCATTAGCAGACCCCGTCTCAGGTAAATTCCTGTTTGGAGCTCTTGCGGATACACGACTCCCTGTTCGGCGCAATAGCTGAACTCTGAGAATGTCCTTGCACCTCCCCTGGGAAGCCCCTAGCACCTTGCACCTCCACCTGGGAAGTCCCTAGCACCCTACTTCGTCCCAGGAACAGTGAGTTATATCTCATAAGGTGGACCTGAAGTGTGAGATTGTGTCTCAGGAGGTTGACCTGAAGTGTGACTTAATTCCTGGGCCCCCTCCCCCCCGAAAGCAGACACAGGGGTGGAATCCACAGGGGACAATTGCCAACACAGTTGATCGATGTGATGCCATGTATGATAAGAGATCCAGAGATCTTACAGATGATAGCAGGAACCCACAGATGACCAGGAGCGTAGTTCCTAGCCCAGACCGGATCACCCAACTGAAGTCTCCTTGGTGCCCGCGGATGTGACACCTGTGAAGCCACCCAGTCTAGGTGCAACCTGTCCAATTTAGTAATGAGTCTGTGACCCCAGCGGAGTTCAGCTGGGCTCTTCCCTGTGGACGTGCAAGGTGTGGTGCGGTGTGCAAGAAGAAAATCAGCTAACCTGTGATGCAGTTACCGTAAGTCAGTTTCTTGAGGGCATCTTTGGTGGTGCGGACCATTCTCTCTGCCATTCTGTTGGAGGATGGGTGGAAGGGAGCCGATGGTGCATGCCGGATCAGGTTGGCTTGAAGAAAAGCCTGGAACTCAGAAGAGGTAAATTGAGGGCTATTGTCTGAAACCAGAACTGGGAGACCGTGTGATGCAAAAATTCCTCTCAACACCTGGATGGTCCTGACAGTAGTAGTGGAGGAAACAGGAACAACCTCTAGTCACTTGGAATGGCTATCAACCACAACCAGGAAGAATTGACCCTGAACGGGCCCAGCGTAATCTATATGCACCTAGACCATGGAATTTGTGTTTCTCCCACCTATGAACTGGTGTCTGAGGCATTTCAGGCCGAGACTGTTGGCACACTTGGCACCCGTGCACCTGGGCCTCGCTTTCATCCTAACGATCCCAGGATGTCCCTCATGCAGAGAGATCAAGATTCTAGACCTCAATTAGGCTGAGATGACTACCCTGCTACCCCATAAAAGGCACCCATTAAAGGTAGACAGTGCATGTCTCCTTTGCCAAAAACTTTGAGATGTCGCATCTGGACACGGGTCAGGCCATCCTGACAACACCCATGTCAGCACACATGTAAGCATGTGATCAGTTACAGTTTCAGCAGCCATGTCCCTAGCATTGAGGGGAGATTCAGGCAACTCCTGAATGGAAAG